TTTCCAAGTGCAAAATATTTTTTCTTTAGGATTCCTTTTTCTATGTGAAGTGTTTTGCATTTGTCTAAGCCAAACTCCATTTGTATGTCCTTGGTATATGAATGTGTGATTTGTAGAAGCTGCTGAAGTTGTTTTTATGTGAATGCATAAAGTTTTATGTTATCCATGTATATTATTATTATTATTATTATTAAACTTCTTGATAAACAGTAAAATTGATTCTATGAAGTGAGAGTTAAATGCTTGAGGCTGCAAACACAATCCAATAAGAATATTAACCAAATTGTTTAAGTCTTATTACTATAATCTGCATTCATTACACTTTTATCTTTTTTCAAATAATATGAACTTGTTTCCACATTAATAACATGTAAGGCATCGTTTAATAATCTCAATGTAAATTGTAAAAAACTTGTCCTATTTGAAATTGCTATTTTAAATTTATTCAGTGCACTCTAGTTAGTTGGAATTGCCAATTGTTTATATTTGAACTTTGTTGTGGTAGGAAGTGCTTCCTATATTTTTCTTTGCGAACATTCTTTATTACTTTTATTTATTCATCACCATTGATTAGCCTCTGTTCTCATACCACCACAACTGCTGTTACTCATCAATTCACTAGAATTTGGGTAATGATTATTTTGTTATTAATCTTTCTTAAGTGTGTGTATATTACATTTATTTCAATATTTAATATTAGAAGTGTTTTGAGTTTTTATTTAGAAGTTTGGTGAAGTTAAGTAACCAGAAATAAGTTGCAGGAACTTTTAAATCTATATCAATTAGCTTGTGGTAAAATTGGTTCTGTTGTCCATTATAGCATTTAAAGTTGTAATTTCCAAAAACTAACTGTTGACATATGTTTCTGAATAATAATTCTAACTCAAAATGATAATAGAAATAGAACTTATCAGTTGTTTAGTAAAATTGGTATAACATTTTAAAATTTAATAGCATGCAAAACTGATCAGTAATCAGTGACTTTTTATGAAAATTTAATGACAAAAAGTCTAATTGATTGAATTTAAATATAATTTAAATGCTGTTAACATAGAAATGTGTATTCCATTGATAAAAAAAAAAAACAGTTTGCATAGAGCTAGTGATACAGATCTAGGATATATTATTAGATTGAAATATTTGAGAAAAAAGTGATGGTAAATGTTGGGCGATATGCTTTTTGTCCTTATAATTTTATAATTTGATATGTGAGTGCGAAGTTTTGGCACAAGTCAGGAGGACAAATATGAATGAACACTGATTATTTATAGTAACAACAACAAGCATTTCTGACAGATGATCTGTCCCTCATCAGTGAAGTTTGTTACAAATTATGAGTCATGAGGAAGGCAACCATGTTTATAAAAAAAATAGAATATGCTCATTAAATATCCGTGACTCTGAATTTGTAACAAGCATAGCTGAAGAGAGCTGAATTAAATGTTTGAAATGCATACTGTTTTTACAATAAATAACCAATGTTCATTCATCTTTGTGTGATTTCTCCTACTGCATCAATAATGTGTGATAAATCTTCCAGAGAACCAAAACTTGGTGCTCACATATTTAATGATGGTAAATGTATTGATGACAAAATATTATTTGCATTAAGCATTTAATTATTCATCTATGATCTTATTAGAATATCGTAATTTTGAATTTAAGTTTTTTTTACATTGTGAAGATATACAAAACTCTTTGTTGATCTAAATTTATTTGTAATTTCAAATTCCTTTATTAAAAATTTTAATTACTGTTATGAAAGAATATAAAGTATGAAAAAGAAATCCACAAAATTAGCAATAGAATTGATTAACATTTGAATATGAGGAAGAAAAATGTTGAGTATAGTAACATTGATATTTTGATATAGAGTATAAAAAGCTAAATACATTTAAATTAGACAGCAGAATTAAATTCTATAATTATATAGACTAATAAAAAATAAACATTTAGAAATAATAGGAAGTTAATTTTTATAAGTTTCTTTGTGTGTTTGCATTTTTTATTCTGGTAGTAGTTAATTGTTTTAGGACAGTGTATAGCATTAAACTTTAACTCATTGCTGATAATGAAAAATTTCATTAATAAAAAGGAAGCTTTGTTTGTAGTTGTGTTGAATATGCATGGGGCCTTTCCGGACATTTTTGTGTTTGGATTTTTGGGTGTTGAATTTTTCATTGTCATTGCTGAGAGAAAAATCTCAACTTTTTTTGAAAAATTTATCTTTTCATTTATATACAATATTTACTTGGGTATAAGACGATCTCGCGTATAGGACAAGGTATGACTTTAGAGATCAAAATAAAGAAAATTAGATTTATTAATACAATTCTAATTTTATTTCGTTTAATCACAAAATATTATCAAATGCACGTATTAAGAGAAACAACCATGTTTGTTTTAATACATGATAAATGGAAAACAAAACCAAAACATTATAGTGCGTGTGACTGGAAAAAGTTTATTTTTAATGATTCAGAATGTGCTAATATTAATTAAAAATAACAATTTAACTAATATAAAATAACTACATTTATAATCATTGCTAAGTGACTTGTATTTCATTAATGTTTTTATAAATAATGAGAAAGTATTTTCTGCGAACGAATGAGATGCAACATGGTTTTTTAATTGATGGATGTGGGATTAAACCAATAAACAAAGAGCTGTGTGTGTGTCTTCATTTGTTTACAGTAGGTTCCAACTTACGATAGACTGTAGACCTATCATTATAGGTCTACAGCAGGGGTGGCCAACCTTTTGCATACCATGCGCCAATTTTTTAATAGACGAGTTCAGATGCGCAGTGGCGTACCGTGAGTGTTAGCCGCCCGGGGCGGAGAAAAATTTCGGCCACCCCTTAATTACGTATTTCAATTTATAAGACGAAAATTCAGTTTTTCCACAGAATAAGCAATGAAAAATGCGGTTGTAGTGTATAAAATAGTTCTATATGCCACTAGCGGTGTACATGAACACGAATGTATCGTGTATCGTACAAGCAAAAAAAATAAAAAAGGTCAACAGGTTGATTGCAACGAACTGTGCAACAAATGAACTTGACAAGACAAACTATAAAAAGTTAATTTTCTATGTAATATTCGTAATTGCAATGAAGCCAAATCTGGCAATGTTGCTCAGAACCGACTGAAGCGCCACTTGTAATCGTCTAATGCGCCAACTTTGGCGCATGCGCCACGTTTTGGCCACCCCTGGTCTACAGTCTATCGTATATACGATACTTCATGCTGTATACACGTATATTGTGTATACGGCATGAAGTATACATGGTTTGCAAAATACGCAAAGAATCCTTCGTTTGTGCATATAGGATGACCTAGGTTTTTGAAGCAGTGAAAAATGAATAAAAACCTTGTCTTATATGCAGGTAAATATGGTACTTTCCTACAAATCTGTTCCATTGTATTTTCTAGAAAAATTCAAAAAAGCCCACAAATTTAAAAAAATAATTTTTATTAGGTAATAAACAGTAAGGGAAAGATTGATAATATACTATTACAGGATTGGGCATATGTATTGGTGGTCTTGGTGGGAAAATGCTGTAATTTTTTAAGTTTTTTAGAAACAAGTTATGTTTGAGAATTTGATGGAAAGATATTTTAGACAGTGTGCATGCAATAATAAAACATGGTACAGTGAAATTCTGTTAACATGATATTTTGTATGCCAGCAAACTGATAAGCTGGCCTGTCCAGCTCATCTTTGGGGTGAGTCTTAATATACTGTGTATTTATCTGTATTTATATGCAACAAGGTAGTCAGTTAATTAAAACTAAGTAACGATTAAATTTAAAAATATTTAATTTAAATTTAAAATTCTGGCCTTTACATTGAAACAAACTAAAATCAAAATTAATTAATTTAATTAAAATTAAATCAGTTGAAACATAATATTTCTTAAAGTGTAGATAAAGTACTTGTTGTCTGTCTTGATTGATTTGGTTATACAGTCACAGTTGAGTGTTTTTTTTAACAGCACTTTTTGTAAAGTGTTAGTTTTGATTTTGGTTGGTGATGATGGAACATTTTGCATTTAATATGTAAAATATATAGAATATAGATATAAAATGTAGAGTAGATATAGATAAGAGTACAAAGCACAAAGTAAGATTAGAGAGTTCTTGTTTCAAACCAATCAAGGATAGGAATAATCTGGAAAAATTTAAATAGTGTGTTAAATGATCATAAAAGGTGAACTTGTAGTTTTACATGCAAATACATGTAAAATTGTGTCCAGGGAATCAAAAAAAAAAAACCAAGAAAAATTCCATTATTCGATAAATCGGCATATTTAATAACCTGGCATTGCATAGTTCCAATGATACTGGATTAATGGAATGTCACTTTATTTGGTTTCAGATTGATAGCCCTGGAAGTGCTGGGAAAGGCTAGAGACAGTGGAGTGATCTCCCATGTAGACGAATCAAATTGTACTTTTTAAAAAATTAAATTTTTTTTTCCAGGACATGCACAGAGTGCATGTCCTGGAAAAATATAACTAATTTTACAGCACAATATACAGAGTGCACTATGTGCACTCTGTATATTGTGCTGTAAAATTAGTTGATGGAAATCAATGCAAGTTTTTTTCTTGGCGTTTTTAACTAAAATTATTTTTTCAGATATTTTTCAAATATAAAAAAGTATATTCCATTAAATAAAGACTGAAAAAAGTGAAGATGGATTTTTATAAATTTTATATGTTGTTTTAATAAGTCAAGTATTGATTCAAATGATAGCTTTAATATGATTTATATGTAATTTGAGTCTTTAAATCAGATCTTATTTAGCTTTAGATTTATAATACATTGATAAATAGATTTATTTATAATAAAATTGTAAAACTTTGCATTTATATACTAACTTCAAAATGCTCAGTTCTGTAGTAAGTAAAGGAATTTGCAAATTGCAAAGTTTATAATAATTATGATTTTTAAATTACGAAGTTAAATATAAAAAATATATATTTTTTTTAGACGAGAGGAAGAACGCCGTCGAGATGAGCAGCGCCGGCAAGAAGAACTTATGTTGCGCCAGCAACAAGAAGAAATCTTAAGACGACGAAGTGCTGAAGAAATTCGTCGGCGCCAAGAGGATACCCTCATGATGCAGGTAAACTAATTTTATTGTTAGTTTCCAAATGTATTATTAACCTGTTGCATTGGTAAAATATCTGCCATAAAAATTGAATTTATAAACAATAATAAGATTTTTAGTTCAAACATTTGCTTATATAGTGAGTTATCATTTCATTGTCTGATATATTGTAGTGGAAATGCTGTTGTGTCATAATTGTATACAAAAGACTGTATTTACTAACATATAAGACAAGGTTTTTATTCATTTTTCACTACTTCAAAAACCTTCGTCATCCTGTATGTGTGAGCGAAAGATTTTTTTGCAATAATTTTTGTAAACAGTGTATTTGCATTTTTTACCAGCTATTCACCCTTTGGTATTTAAAAACAAAAGTATTTTATCTGGGTCGTTTGAATCGTCCTTGTGTATTGTCAGGAGTAAAGATGAATAGCAATAGGAAAAACAAGGCTTTTAAATTGAATTAGAGATGGAAATTCCAAAATCACGCAGGAGCCTAATATAAGTTTTAATCCATTCCCACATGAAAACGGGTGATTATTCAGAAATCAGAATTCAGAGAAACTCATAAGTGTATAAACTCATAAGATGGAGAGTGGATTCAACTGTTAGGAATTGGCAAAAAAAGGTTCCCAATTGTCCAGTTTTACATGAACAAATTATGTTGTCAATTTTACAAGATTTTTCCTTAACATTTAAAATACCAGTAATTTTTGCAAGACACTGTGTGTGCATTTACATGCCTTTGATATTTTATTTGTAATTAAATGGAATAAAATTAAAATTGTGTTAATAAATCTAATTTTCTTTATTTTGATCTCAAAAGTCACACCTTGTCCTATATGTGAGATTGTCTTATACATGAGTAAATACGGTATATATTTGTTATTCTAATTCAAGTTCTTCCAGATAGGGAAAATGTGTATCACACCACCAATATATTTAGCTTTTCATTTACTCTGTGAAGAAAATTTAAAGAGGTATTATTTTGAAGACATTATGTAATTATCTATAATTATAACTTGATTCAAATAATGTAAAAATTTTAAATTTTCTTCTATTGATATGTTTATGTAATGTTAATTGAAAATTTTTTTAAAGCATAGTAATATGAATTTTAAGTTACTAATGGCCGTATTTAAAACCAAGAATTGTGAGTTAGAGTTAGAAGTTAATGAATTACTATTCACGTTAATAGTAAAGTGAATACAGGCATAACAGAAAAATTGACAATTTTGTACTAAAGATTAAGACAGTATGGAATGATTAAATTGAAATAAAATGGGTACTATATAGATAAAATGCATTAGTATTTGGACAATAATTTCTAGTATATAAAGTTATTTCTGTGTCATGATTTATGAGAATATCTGTTTTTTACCGAATGAATGTTGATCAATAGGATATTTCTAAATATATTATTATGATTTTAAAAATCAAATGTGACATTCAAAGTAACCAACAGACAATTCTAGAAAAGAAAATAATTTGTAGGTTATTGTCTTTCAAATTCCAATGCATTGGGTTAGTTTAATTATAAAAATTTAATCCTATCTGTGAATATTTAAATGTAGAACCATTTGTGTGTTATTTCAAAAACTAAATACCCTTTTAGAAAAATTTTCTATGGTAATAGTTTTTGTACAGTTACACTGTTATCCTTGTGTTTTGAAATATCACTGCAAATTTTTGTATTCAGTTGTATTTTGAATTAAATATTTAATTGTAGGTTTGTTTTTACATTGTACTAACATCTAATAAAAGTTTTGATGGCAATCTTCTGTAAAGGAAAATTAGATATATAAACAGTTATGATATATAGTCATTGCATTTGCTATGATTTTACTTTTTCGTTTTTCAATACTTTAAACTATTTTTTTTCTTTTTTTGATAAATGATGCAACTAGATTAAACAGATTAAGTTTTATATACTGTAGAAGATTTACTTTACCTGAATATTCTCCATCATTCCTTCATTTCATAACTAACTAGCAGGTAAGTCCAGCATTGCCTGGACAAAAAATAACAACAAACATTAATTTATTAGATTATTTCTTACTTATAACCCTTCTATTATATTATTGTGGTATTTGATTTATATAACTACGAAGATTATATTACATAAGAGTTTGTCATACCAAGCGACAAATCTAACTAATTTTAAAAATTGTTTAAATTGTGTACATTAGAGGAATAAAGAATTTTTAAAATGTGTCACTCACTGTGATAAATCATTATGTAAGATAACCTTTGTAGTTATATAAATCAAATACTATAATATAGCAAACATTAAAATGAAAACCATATAAAGAATTTGGTCATTTCAGCCTATCATTGTCATATTTATTGTAATACTCTGATGGTATGAAATGACAGTGGTCAAATAGGCAGGAGTTGAAAATGTAGTCTTAAAATTTTTGAGATATTGTAATTTTTTTCTACTGTTAACTTTAAGAATTTATACCATTCATAGCCAAATATCAAATGGTAATCTCCCTAGTAAATTAAATTTTGCAGAAAAAGGACCAAATATTTAAACTCAGCATCTTCGAAAACCACTTAAAACATATTTAATCAGGCTAGTAACCTTGTACTATGTAATCTTCCTATTTGAATACCATCATACCGCTGGTCCAGTAGAAAGAAGGGACTGTTGTGGAAGGGGAATGAAGTAATTTGACTAAAAGTATCCATTGTGACCTCTTTAAAGTGTTTATATTTTTGCAATAGATTACATAAACTGTGTGAGAAGTATGTCCTAGTAAATATTGCATTTATAGAAAAATTATTATAATTAGTTTATTTGGTTATGGCAACACAACAGGTTTGCAATCTGCCGAGGGGGGTGCATCCTGGGAAGACTTTTATGTGAAGCTGGTCCCTATTTAGGTGTTACTAACTTGAAGAAAACCTGGAAAACTTCATGAGGCCAGCCTGTTGGCTATGCTCAACCCACAATTGACTACCAGTGTTTGGTGGTTTATCCACTTGGCTACTGGTGGGCACTTATTAGAATTAAGAAAGTACCATTCAGAAATGAATAAATCCGAGTTGTTAGATGTGGAAAATTAAATATATTTAGACTTTTCATAGGGTAACACTTATGATTCCATGCAGGCAAGTGCTATGTGCTACCTGTTGTAGTAATGATATAGTGTGAATAAAAAAAAAAATACATATATATATATATTTTAATTATATCCATTTTAAGAATTATATTTAGTTAATTACTTTTAAATTTTTTGCTAATGGTGCTAGATGTAAACCCAGCAAATCAAATGTAGACAGAAATTACTTGAACTATAGAAATCCAGTCAATATTTTGGAGTGATGTTTATGACATTATAATGTAGAATTATCTGATTACAGTTGTCTGGTGCATTGCTAAACTAAGAATAAAACAGATCCTTGTTTTTTTCTAGAAAACTGTTATAAATACTTTTTAATTGATAAGAATAAAATTTCATATTCAAAATTACTAGCATTTTTGAAAATCTATAATTAGTGAAACCTTTATGTATAGCAGACATTTTATGATAAACCAAAATGTCTGTTATATGGAGAGTTTGTTTTACAGTACTGTATAAATAAGCAGCCTGTACAGTATATGGTATTGAAATTTTAAAGTCTGTATTTTTTTAAGATCTTTGTTAAATATTGCATTTTTAATTTGCTTAAATCAAAATAAAAACAGACTAAAAAAATATACAATATTGTATAGTAAATGAAGTTTTATTGTTGTCACTGTATATAGTGTAGAATGACTTTAGTATGTGTGTTGATACAGTATGAAATTGTACAGCACTGTGTTTCTGTAAAACAGCTTATTGTGTGTAAAAGTAATCAGAAATATTTACTTGCTTCTGAATGCAAGCTCAAAATTGTTTCCAGGACATTCTCCAATTCAGAAAGTTTTTGAATATTTAAAGAATCTCCTTTCTGAATAAACAAGTTCTTTATAATTTTTGTTCTTTGAATTGCTTTAGTGAATGCTGTTATGTGTTCTTTAACTTCCACAGCATAATCATCTTTACTTTCTGCTCTCTTCATAGCATTGTTTGTTTCCTTTACAGATTCCACAATGTCATTAATATCTGTTGATGAATCTTCAGTTAGATGATCATCAACTTTAATGTAATTTGTTGCCTGTATGTATTTTCTGAATTCTGCTATTAAATCTTCTAAAGCATCTGCTGCGTATCTATTTGATTGTCACTTCATGTTACTTCCAAGTTTGATATCTGAGGAAACAGCCTTTATGAGGCAGTTTCTTAGTTTTCTGATGCTTGGAATTCAGAGATGATTTGATCCATAAAAGTGCATCTTCAAAACAGTAATGATTTTTGTCAGTTCACTGTGTTTTGCAAGCCATTCAAGTTAGATATGACAATATACTGTGGTATTATAAAACCTTGAAGTTGCTTATTCCTTGATTAAGTGGCTGACATTTGAAAGTTGTTTTCAGGGAAGATTAAAAAGTTTAACATATTACAAGACAATATTTTTTGGATGGGAAGTTGCATTGGTTAAGAAAAGAAGCACCTTCCTTTTCATTCTTCCTGTGTTCCAATCCATCATATCTATTTTATCATCCATGCTTTTTGTTAGCATACCACTAAACAATGAGTGTGTCCATTTGTATCTCTTTAAAGCAGGGGTCTAATCTTTGGCTTTCTTGGGCTACATTTCAAGAATAACAATTGTCTCTGGCTGCACAAACTATAAAATTACATGTAAATATGACATGAGTATATTTGCTGCTATAGTCCGAAACAAACAAAGTTTATGTAGCCAAGTCAAATTTTTGTAGCCCAAAAAGTGCCAATATGCCAAACTAAAAAAGGGACGCCCATTTTGGCACAAAATAGCCAAATTTTTTCATTTGAGGTATAGTACATAATAAATGTGTAATGTATGATATTAGCCATTTTAACTTTTCTTCAATACATGTGAACCTTGCTGCACTAGCACTACAGCAGCTTACTTAAAGCAGAAATAGCTTAACTGTCTTTTAAGAAAGTGGTTTTACTAGGAAAGATGCTCAATATATAATTTTAAAGACTACAGTGGTACCTCAGGATACGAAATTAATCCGTTCCGAAACTGACGTAAGGTGGATCATCTTTTCCCATACGATTACATGTAAAACCAAATAATTCGTTCCAACGCGAAAAACATACTCAAATTAAAGCCAAGTAATACATTAAAAAAAATAACTGTAGTAAGAAAAACAAATGAAAAATGCGAACTAATGTAACGTCGTATGGTGAGTTTTTGTTCGTATCGTGGAGCAAAAATATGTTCGAATTTCATGTCGTATCCTGAAAATTTCATATGCTGGGGTGTTCGTAACCTGAGGTACCATTGTATAAGTATATACTAATGTAACTTTTGACAAAAATTTTAATAAAATGTATTACAATGCTGCACAAATTTAAAAATAAGTACATAAAGATCTTAACCTTTCAACAGTGGAATAGTCAGGTATGATGCTATCCCAAAGTAGAGGAGAATAAATGTGGGAAATTTTTAAAGTATTTTTCTGTGCTTTTTTTTCTCGTTACCATTTCAGAAAAAGATTTTGTAAACAGTTATGTCTAGTAAAGAAAAGTCTTTTTTTTTATTGTTACATAATTCATTTTTTCAGCGAATTTTTGCAAAATGTTATTGTTCAAGAGTTTTTACATTTGTATAATACTCCACAAAATATTTTAAATAGTTTTGTTGAGGTGGAACTATTATTTTACAGAATGCTATACAACTAGCAAAAATTGACAAACAAAAATGACAGTGTTTTTAAGTAACCACACACATTTATATTGATGTTTTAATGGGCAACTTCCTATGTATTAATTTGTTACATTTTATCTTTGAGACATTAAACTTTACTTTTTCAATATTAGACTATTTTATTTCTTACCTGATATAACAAACATCTGTTATAATGAACCAGTTTTGACAGTCTGTAGAGGTTTGTAGTCTGTTATAAGTGGACACAACTGTATTTAAAAACTTTCCCTCTGTGAAAAAGTCTTAACATCTGATATAAGAATTACGATGCATGTCACAATCAATAGTACCTTGATTCAAGGAAATAATAGTATTTTGAGTTTCAGTATTAGTATAGAGATATAAGTAATTTAGTTGAAATTTAGAAGAAAAATGTTTCTTTTGATATAATAAAGTGAATTTATTATCATTTCAGTTAGAGAAAAGAGACTAATCTGATCTTGAGAACTTTCCAAAAGTTCTCATAATGTGTAATTTGAATTCAGAGAGATGTAATATTTTAAATTTCTATATTCTAGAATTCTTTTCCTGGTTATATAGTTATCACAGAAAATATATTTCTGAAGACAAATATTGATGTCTATTAAAATAGTTTTTGGAAATTAACCTCATACGTATATTGAGCTTTAACTGGATTATTGTAAATACTTAGACAAAAAAAACCTATTCCAGCAACAACTTTTTAATTTTATCCAACACCTTCAATTATCTGTGTAGCAATTGTCAGGATCAAACTCTTTGAATGCAATTCTTTAACATTTAAATATTTTGTTCTAAACAAGAATTATTTAAATACATAAAATTCGTAAATTAAGAATAGCAGTAAATGTGTACAACACTTGAAAGTATACAGAATAATAATAATAAATAAATTTTAAAATAAAAATAAAGTAAATAAATGCATAAATGAGATATTTGCTTTAGTCTATGGTTTCACTGCTCTCTGTCTTGAGAAGGTACTTCCAAGTTACTGATAAACATGTGGCATCTTTAAGGTTTATGCATGAATTCTTAACACTGCTTATATTTTATGTATATTTTTTCAAGAGTTTTACTTGCTTGTTGATCCCCTATTGTTTTTAAGAGCTTAGCTTTGTTAAAGTTTGATGTATTGTCTGGTGCAGTGGCCATTATAGCTAAGGTGGCTGTGGTTTTACCTTTATATACATCATACTGATGCTCTTTAAGTCTCGTTGGGAGATTTTTGGATGTGTATCTTATGTATTTGCTTGTTTTGTATTCCATACCTAGATTAAATTAACTAATCGGTATCTCTTATACCCCAGGAGCTGTTTTAGGATCTATTGTGTCTTTGTCATTACATAAGCAGCTGTAAATAGTTTTGTTATGCTTATATGTGATACTTTATGCTGCTCGATCTGATGGTTTTTCTATAAGTATTATCTAATAATTTATTATATATTCTATTCAAAGTATTCCATCCTGACAATGCCTGCACNATCTACAGCAGGGGTGGCCAACCTTTTGCATACCATGCGCCAATTTTTTAATAGACGAGTTCAGATGCGCAGTGGCGTACCGTGAGTGTTAGCCGCCCGGGGCGGAGAAAAATTTCGGCCACCCCTTAATTACGTATTTCAATTTATAAGACGAAAATTCAGTTTTTCCACAGAATAAGCAATGAAAAATGCGGTTGTAGTGTAGTTACCCGTATAAAATAGTTCAATATGCCACTAGCGGTGTACATGAACACGAATGTATCGTGTATCGTACAAGCAAAAAAAATAAAAAAGGTCAACAGGTTGATTGCAACGAACTGTGCAACAAATGAACTTGACAAGACAAACTATAAAAAGTTAATTTTCTATGTAATATTCGTAATTGCAATGAAGCCAAATCTGGCAATGTTGCTCAGAACCGACTGAAGCGCCACTTGTAATCGTCTAATGCGCCAACTTTGGCGCATGCGCCACGTTTTGGCCACCCCTGGTCTACAGTCTATCGTATACACGATACTTCATGCTGTATACACGTATATTGTGTATACGGCATGAAGTATACATGGTTTGCAAAATACGCAAAGAATCCTTCGTTTGTGCATATAGGATGACCTAGGTTTTTGAAGCAGTGAAAAATGAATAAAAACCTTGTCTTATATGCAGGTAAATATGGTACTTTCCTACAAATCTGTTCCATTGTATTTTCTAGAAAAATTCAAAAAAGCCCACAAATTTAAAAAAATAATTTTTATTAGGTAATAAACAGTAAGGGAAAGATTGATAATATACTATTACAGGATTGGGCATATGTATTGGTGGTCTTGGTGGGAAAATGCTGTAATTTTTTAAGTTTTTTAGAAACAAGTTATGTTTGAGAATTTGATGGAAAGATATTTTAGACAGTGTGCATGCAATAATAAAACATGGTACAGTGAAATTCTGTTAACATGATATTTTGTATGCCAGCAAACTGATAAGCTGGCCTGTCCAGCTCATCTTTGGGGTGAGTCTTAATATACTGTGTATTTATCTGTATTTATATGCAACAAGGTAGTCAGTTAATTAAAACTAAGTAACGATTAAATTTAAAAATATTTAATTTAAATTTAAAATTCTGGCCTTTACATTGAAACAAACTAAAATCAAAATTAATTAATTTAATTAAAATTAAATCAGTTGAAACATAATATTTCTTAAAGTGTAGATAAAGTACTTGTTGTCTGTCTTGATTGATTTGGTTATACAGTCACAGTTGAGTGTTTTTTTTAACAGCACTTTTTGTAAAGTGTTAGTTTTGATTTTGGTTGGTGATGATGGAACATTTTGCATTTAATATGTAAAATATATAGAATATAGATATAAAATGTAGAGTAGATATAGATAAGAGTACAAAGCACAAAGTAAGATTAGAGAGTTCTTGTTTCAAACCAATCAAGGATAGGAATAATCTGGAAAAATTTAAATAGTGTGTTAAATGATCATAAAAGGTGAACTTGTAGTTTTACATGCAAATACATGTAAAATTGTGTCCAGGGAATCAAAAAAAAAAAACCAAGAAAAATTCCATTATTCGATAAATCGGCATATTTAATAACCTGGCATTGCATAGTTCCAATGATACTGGATTAATGGAATGTCACTTTATTTGGTTTCAGATTGATAGCCCTGGAAGTGCTGGGAAAGGCTAGAGACAGTGGAGTGATCTCCCATGTAGACGAATCAAATTGTACTTTTTAAAAAATTAAATTTTTTTTTCCAGGACATGCACAGAGTGCATGTCCTGGAAAAATATAACTAATTTTACAGCACAATATACAGAGTGCACTATGTGCACTCTGTATATTGTGCTGTAAAATTAGTTGATGGAAATCAATGCAAGTTTTTTTCTTGGCGTTTTTAACTAAAATTATTTTTTCAGATATTTTTCAAATATAAAAAAGTATATTCCATTAAATAAAGACTGAAAAAAGTGAAGATGGATTTTTATAAATTTTATATGTTGTTTTAATAAGTCAAGTATTGATTCAAATGATAGCTTTAATATGATTTATATGTAATTTGAGTCTTTAAATCAGATCTTATTTAGCTTTAGATTTATAATACATTGATAAATAGATTTATTTATAATAAAATTGTAAAACTTTGCATTTATATACTAACTTCAAAATGCTCAGTTCTGTAGTAAGTAAAGGAATTTGCAAATTGCAAAGTTTATAATAATTATGATTTTTAAATTACGAAGTTAAATATAAAAAATATATATTTTTTTTAGACGAGAGGAAGAACGCCGTCGAGATGAGCAGCGCCGGCAAGAAGAACTTATGTTGCGCCAGCAACAAGAAGAAATCTTAAGACGACGAAGTGCTGAAGAAATTCGTCGGCGCCAAGAGGATACCCTCATGATGCAGGTAAACTAATTTTATTGTTAGTTTCCAAATGTATTATTAACCTGTTGCATTGGTAAAATATCTGCCATAAAAATTGAATTTATAAACAATAATAAGATTTTTAGTTCAAACATTTGCTTATATAGTGAGTTATCATTTCATTGTCTGATATATTGTAGTGGAAATGCTGTTGTGTCATAATTGTATACAAAAGACTGTATTTACTAACATATAAGACAAGGTTTTTATTCATTTTTCACTACTTCAAAAACCTTCGTCATCCTGTATGTGTGAGCGAAAGATTTTTTTGCAATAATTTTTGTAAACAGTGTATTTGCATTTTTTACCAGCTATTCACCCTTTGGTATTTAAAAACAAAAGTATTTTATCTGGGTCGTTTGAATCGTCCTTGTGTATTGTCAGGAGTAAAGATGAATAGCAATAGGAAAAACAAGGCTTTTAAATTGAATTAGAGATGGAAATTCCAAAATCATGCAGGAGCCTAATATAAGTTTTAATCCATTCCCACATGAAAACGGGTGATTATTCAGAAATCAGAATTCAGAGAAACTCATAAGTGTATAAACTCATAAGATGGAGAGTGGATTCAACTGTTAGGAATTGGCAAAAAAAGGTTCCCAATTGTCCAGTTTTACATGAACAAATTATGTTGTCAATTTTACAAGATTTTTCCTTAACATTTAAAATACCAGTAATTTTTGCAAGACACTGTGTGTGCATTTACATGCCTTTGATATTTTATTTGTAATTAAATGGAATAAAATTAAAATTGTGTTAATAAATCTAATTTTCTTTATTTTGATCTCAAAAGTCACACCTTGTCCTATATGTGAGATTGTCTTATACATGAGTAAATACGGTATATATTTGTTATTCTAATTCAAGTTCTTCCAGATAGGGAAAATGTGTATCACACCACCAATATATTTAGCTTTTCATTTACTCTGTGAAGAAAATTTAAAGAGGTATTATTTTGAAGACATTATGTAATTATCTATAATTATAACTTGATTCAAATAATGTAAAAATTTTAAATTTTCTTCTATTGATATGTTTATGTAATGTTAATTGAAAATTTTTTTAAAGCATAGTAATATGAATTTTAAGTTACTAATGGCCGTATTTAAAACCAAGAATTGTGAGTTAGAGTTAGAAGTTAATGAATTACTATTCACGTTAATAGTAAAGTGAATACAGGCATAACAGAAAAATTGACAATTTTGTACTAAAGATTAAGACAGTATGGAATGATTAAATTGAAATAAAATGGGTACTATATAGATAAAATGCATTAGTATTTGGACAATAATTTCTAGTATATAAAGTTATTTCTGTGTCATGATTTATGAGAATATCTGTTTTTTACCGAATGAATGTTGATCAATAGGATATTTCTAAATATATTATTATGATTTTAAAAATCAAATGTGACATTCAAAGTAACCAACAGACAATTCTAGAAAAGAAAATAATTTGTAGGTTATTGTCTTTCAAATTCCAATGCATTGGGTTAGTTTAATTATAAAAATTTAATCCTATCTGTGAATATTTAAATGTAGAACCATTTGTGTGTTATTTCAAAAACTAAATACCCTTTTAGAAAAATTTTCTATGGTAATAGTTTTTGTACAGTTACACTGTTATCCTTGTGTTTTGAAATATCACTGCAAATTTTTGTATTCAGTTGTATTTTGAATTAAATATTTAATTGTAGGTTTGTTTTTACATTGTACTAACATCTAATAAAAGTTTTGATGGCAATCTTCTGTAAAGGAAAATTAGATATATAAACAGTTATGATATATAGTCATTGCATTTGCTATGATTTTACTTTTTCGTTTTTCAATACTTTAAACTATTTTTTTTCTTTTTTTGATAAATGATGCAACTAGATTAAACAGATTAAGTTTTATATACTGTAGAAGATTTACTTTACCTGAATATTCTCCATCATTCCTTCATTTCATAACTAACTAGCAGGTAAGTCCAGCATTGCCTGGACAAAAAATAACAACAAACATTAATTTATTAGATTATTTCTTACTTATAACCCTTCTATTATATTATTGTGGTATTTGATTTATATAACTACGAAGATTATATTACATAAGAGTTTGTCATACCAAGCGACAAATCTAACTAATTTTAAAAATTGTTTAAATTGTGTACATTAGAGGAATAAAGAATTTTTAAAATGTGTCACTCACTGTGATAAATCATTATGTAAGATAACCTTTGTAGTTATATAAATCAAATACTATAATATAGCAAACATTAAAATGAAAACCATATAAAGAATTTGGTCATTTCAGCCTATCATTGTCATATTTATTGTAATACTCTGATGGTATGAAATGACAGTGGTCAAATAGGCAGGAGTTGAAAATGTAGTCTTAAAATTTTTGAGATATTGTAATTTTTTTCTACTGTTAACTTTAAGAATTTATACCATTCATAGCCAAATATCAAATGGTAATCTCCCTAGTAAATTAAATTTTGCAGAAAAAGGACCAAATATTTAAACTCAGCATCTTCGAAAACCACTTAAAACATATTTAATCAGGCTAGTAACCTTGTACTATGTAATCTTCCTATTTGAATACCATCATACCGCTGGTCCAGTAGAAAGAAGGGACTGTTGTGGAAGGGGAATGAAGTAATTTGACTAAAAGTATCCATTGTGACCTCTTTAAAGTGTTTATATTTTTGCAATAGATTACATAAACTGTGTGAGAAGTATGTCCTAGTAAATATTGCATTTATAGAAAAATTATTATAATTAGTTTATTTGGTTATGGCAACACAACAGGTTTGCAATCTGCCGAGGGGGGTGCATCCTGGGAAGACTTTTATGTGAAGCTGGTCCCTATTTAGGTGTTACTAACTTGAAGAAAACCTGGAAAACTTCATGAGGCCAGCCTGTTGGCTATGCTCAACCCACAATTGACTACCAGTGTTTGGTGGTTTATCCACTTGGCTACTGGTGGGCACTTATTAGAATTAAGAAAGTACCATTCAGAAATGAATAAATCCGAGTTGTTAGATGTGGAAAATTAAATATATTTAGACTTTTCATAGGGTAACACTTATGATTCCATGCAGGCAAGTGCTATGTGCTACCTGTTGTAGTAATGATATAGTGTGAATAAAAAAAAAAATACATATATATATATATTTTAATTATATCCATTTTAAGAATTATATTTAGTTAATTACTTTTAAATTTTTTGCTAATGGTGCTAGATGTAAACCCAGCAAATCAAATGTAGACAGAAATTACTTGAACTATAGAAATCCAGTCAATATTTTGGAGTGATGTTTATGACATTATAATGTAGAATTATCTGATTACAGTTGTCTGGTGCATTGCTAAACTAAGAATAAAACAGATCCTTGTTTTTTTCTAGAAAACTGTTATAAATACTTTTTAATTGATAAGAATAAAATTTCATATTCAAAATTACTAGCATTTTTGAAAATCTATAATTAGTGAAACCTTTATGTATAGCAGACATTTTATGATAAACCAAAATGTCTGTTATATGGAGAGTTTGTTTTACAGTACTGTATAAATAAGCAGCCTGTACAGTATATGGTATTGAAATTTTAAAGTCTGTATTTTTTTAAGATCTTTGTTAAATATTGCATTTTTAATTTGCTTAAATCAAAATAAAAACAGACTAAAAAAATATACAATATTGTATAGTAAATGAAGTTTTATTGTTGTCACTGTATATAGTGTAGAATGACTTTAGTATGTGTGTTGATACAGTATGAAATTGTACAGCACTGTGTTTCTGTAAAACAGCTTATTGTGTGTAAAAGTAATCAGAAATATTTACTTGCTTCTGAATGCAAGCTCAAAATTGTTTCCAGGACATTCTCCAATTCAGAAAGTTTTTGAATATTTAAAGAATCTCCTTTCTGAATAAACAAGTTCTTTATAATTTTTGTTCTTTGAATTGCTTTAGTGAATGCTGTTATGTGTTCTTTAACTTCCACAGCATAATCATCTTTACTTTCTGCTCTCTTCATAGCATTGTTTGTTTCCTTTACAGATTCCACAATGTCATTAATATCTGTTGATGAATCTTCAGTTAGATGATCATCAACTTTAATGTAATTTGTTGCCTGTATGTATTTTCTGAATTCTGCTATTAAATCTTCTAAAGCATCTGCTGCGTATCTATTTGATTGTCACTTCATGTTACTTCCAAGTTTGATATCTGAGGAAACAGCCTTTATGAGGCAGTTTCTTAGTTTTCTGATGCTTGGAATTCAGAGATGATTTGATCCATAAAAGTGCATCTTCAAAACAGTAATGATTTTTGTCAGTTCACTGTGTTTTGCAAGCCATTCAAGTTAGATATGACAATATACTGTGGTATTATAAAACCTTGAAGTTGCTTATTCCTTGATTAAGTGGCTGACATTTGAAAGTTGTTTTCAGGGAAGATTAAAAAGTTTAACATATTACAAGACAATATTTTTTGGATGGGAAGTTGCATTGGTTAAGAAAAGAAGCACCTTCCTTTTCATTCTTCCTGTGTTCCAATCCATCATATCTATTTTATCATCCATGCTTTTTGTTAGCATACCACTAAACAATGAGTGTGTCCATTTGTATCTCTTTAAAGCAGGGGTCTAATCTTTGGCTTTCTTGGGCTACATTTCAAGAATAACAATTGTCTCTGGCTGCACAAACTATAAAATTACATGTAAATATGACATGAGTATATTTGCTGCTATAGTCCGAAACAAACAAAGTTTATGTAGCCAAGTCAAATTTTTGTAGCCCAAAAAGTGCCAATATGCCAAACTAAAAAAGGGACGCCCATTTTGGCACAAAATAGCCAAATTTTTTCATTTGAGGTATAGTACATAATAAATGTGTAATGTATGATATTAGCCATTTTAACTTTTCTTCAATACATGTGAACCTTGCTGCACTAGCACTACAGCAGCTTACTTAAAGCAGAAATAGCTTAACTGTCTTTTAAGAAAGTGGTTTTACTAGGAAAGATGCTCAATATATAATTTTAAAGACTACAGTGGTACCTCAGGATACGAAATTAATCCGTTCCGAAACTGAGATCGTATCATGAAAATGTCGTAAGGTGGATCATCTTTTCCCATACGATTACATGTAAAACCAAATAATTCGTTCCAACGCGAAAAACATACTCAAATTAAAGCCAAGTAATACATTAAAAAAAATAACTGTAGTAAGAAAAACAAATGAAAAATGCGAACTAATGTAACGTCGTATGGTGAGTTTTTGTTCGTATCGTGGAGCAAAAATATGTTCGAATTTCATGTCGTATCCTGAAAATTTCATATGCTGGGGTGTTCGTAACCTGAGGTACCACTGTATAAGTATATACTAATGTAACTTTTGACAAAAATTTTAATAAAATGTATTACAATGCTGCACAAATTTAAAAATAAGTACATAAAGATCTTAACCTTTCAACAGTGGAATAGTCAGGTATGATGCTATCCCAAAGTAGAGGAGAATAAATGTGGGAAATTTTTAAAGTATTTTTCTGTGCTTTTTTTTCTCGTTACCATTTCAGAAAAAGATTTTGTAAACAGTTATGTCTAGTAAAGAAAAGTCTTTTTTTTTATTGTTACATAATTCATTTTTTCAGCGAATTTTTGCAAAATGTTATTGTTCAAGAGTTTTTACATTTGTATAATACTCCACAAAATATTTTAAATAGTTTTGTTGAGGTGGAACTATTATTTTACAGAATGCTATACAACTAGCAAAAATTGACAAACAAAAATGACAGTGTTTTTAAGTAACCACACACATTTATATTGATGTTTTAATGGGCAACTTCCTATGTATTAATTTGTTACATTTTATCTTTGAGACATTAAACTTTACTTTTTCAATATTAGACTATTTTATTTCTTACCTGATATAACAAACATCTGTTATAATGAACCAGTTTTGACAGTCTGTAGAGGTTTGTAGTCTGTTATAAGTGGACACAACTGTATTTAAAAACTTTCCCTCTGTGAAAAAGTCTTAACATCTGATATAAGAATTACGATGCATGTCACAATCAATAGTACCTTGATTCAAGGAAATAATAGTATTTTGAGTTTCAGTATTAGTATAGAGATATAAGTAATTTAGTTGAAATTTAGAAGAAAAATGTTTCTTTTGATATAATAAAGTGAATTTATTATCATTTCAGTTAGAGAAAAGAGACTAATCTGATCTTGAGAACTTTCCAAAAGTTCTCATAATGTGTAATTTGAATTCAGAGAGATGTAATATTTTAAATTTCTATATTCTAGAATTCTTTTCCTGGTTATATAGTTATCACAGAAAATATATTTCTGAAGACAAATATTGATGTCTATTAAAATAGTTTTTGGAAATTAACCTCATACGTATATTGAGCTTTAACTGGATTATTGTAAATACTTAGACAAAAAAAACCTATTCCAGCAACAACTTTTTAATTTTATCCAACACCTTCAATTATCTGTGTAGCAATTGTCAGGATCAAACTCTTTGAATGCAATTCTTTAACATTTAAATATTTTGTTCTAAACAAGAATTATTTAAATACATAAAATTCGTAAATTAAGAATAGCAGTAAATGTGTACAACACTTGAAAGTATACAGAATAATAATAATAAATAAATTTTAAAATAAAAATAAAGTAAATAAATGCATAAATGAGATATTTGCTTTAGTCTATGGTTTCACTGCTCTCTGTCTTGAGAAGGTACTTCCAAGTTACTGATAAACATGTGGCATCTTTAAGGTTTATGCATGAATTCTTAACACTGCTTATATTTTATGTATATTTTTTCAAGAGTTTTACTTGCTTGTTGATCCCCTATTGTTTTTAAGAGCTTAGCTTTGTTAAAGTTTGATGTATTGTCTGGTGCAGTGGCCATTATAGCTAAGGTGGCTGTGGTTTTACCTTTATATACATCATACTGATGCTCTTTAAGTCTCGTTGGGAGATTTTTGGATGTGTATCTTATGTATTTGCTTGTTTTGTATTCCATACCTAGATTAAATTAACTAATCGGTATCTCTTATACCCCAGGAGCTGTTTTAGGATCTATTGTGTCTTTGTCATTACATAAGCAGCTGTAAATAGTTTTGTTATGCTTATATGTGATACTTTATGCTGCTCGATCTGATGGTTTTTCTATAAGTATTATCTAATAATTTATTATATATTCTATTCAAAGTATTCCATCCTGACAATGCCTGCACAGATATTCGAAAGCATTAGGTAGAATTTAAAAATTGTTGCTGGAATAGATTTTTTGTCTTTAAGGAAATTAACAGCTTACTTCATTTAAAATTATTACTGAATTTTTAATTTGATATTCTTTACAGTAAATGTTGAATGTTTATGGTTATTTTATTCATATTAAGTTTGTAATTTGTGTATTAAATGTTTTAATTATATAAAATAAATGAATACATATGTGAATATTTTAATGTTTTCTAACTAAGTTTGAAAAAAGTACTGTGTGTTGATTTGGAGAATGCTAAACAGAATGAACTGTGTGTATATTGTCAAAATTATGAAATTGGTTTTATATATTGAAATAAATTTGCATCATTAGTGTTTAATAAAGATGCAATATAATAGGGTAACTTGGCTGAACAATATCCTCTTGTTTTCTTCTTAGGCAAGTTCCCTCTCTGATCTGCTTGACCGGGTAAGAAGTCATACCTTTATGTAAATGAATGGTTTATATTTAACTCAAGATAAGTACTTAAATTGGAATATTTAAGAAAAAATTGAATCTTGATTATATATAATCCAAAATTGAAATTTTCTTGAATAGTACTATTGAGTGTATGCATGATTTGTTATTTTTGTTTTTGATGAATTTTTTTTTACAATTCATACAAGCACAGTAGAATTGATAGAAGTAAAATAATGGAAGTAATATTATAAAGAATTAAAACAAACACTTTTGAATAGTTTTGCCTACTTTTCACATCCATAAACTATATAATTGTCTTGACTTAAAATTCTTTTGATTCACTTTGTGAAATAAAAATTTTAATTATTTTGCTGGTAGAAATTACAAACAATACAATTTACTTCATTACCAAGATAACAATACTCTAAAATTTAATTCCATTGCATGTGTTAAAAACTATATGCTGTAAGTGCAAAATAATTGTTTTAAGCATTAATTTCATATTTTAATTGAACATAATTTTTTTTGTATGTTTATACTGAAGCTACATGAAGTTGTTGCCTTTGATAAGTTTCAAAATATCATCATGTTTCATTTGAACCTGCTATTCTCACTCATTCACATTTTGTACTTTATTAATGATAGTGTCTATTCTTTTTCTACTTATACAAATCCTGTGTGTTCTATCTTATTAATATTGGCTGTGTTCCCATAAGATTAACCCAGTAGTTGTGCCCATGCATTGGGAAAAACATTTCTGGTCTTCACTTTTCTAAATTACAGTAAGACCCTGCTTAACAGTGATTCGATATAATGCAGTCTGCTCGTAGCCTAAAAATTACACTGATTCAAATTATCGTGGCATTTCATTGATTTGTATACAATATGATTAATTACGAACATGAACCAATTAACAAAAGGTGGCAATTTGTTGTAGCATTGTACTTGTCTATGTTTGTTTGGTGCAGTTTTGGAAAAAAATATAACATCGTGGATGCCATAGGCAATATCAACTTTGCTTGACAAGAATTAACTGATAAATGCATGAACGAAGTGTGGAAGAAGTTATGGCTAAAGGTATTCGAGAATTCTCAATAAGAAGAGTCTATCGCTGTATTGTTAGGTCGACAAAATCGAGCAGGATATTGAGGAGTTACTGTAGGTTTCTGGTGAGAGTCTCACCAACAATGACCTTCAAGAACTAGCAGAACAAAGAATTTATATAGAACTGGAAAATAGTGATTGTGAAAACAAAGAACCGAAAGAATTTCTCTACAGATTTCCTCAGTAAAAGTTTGGTAACAATAACTGAAAGCGATCAAAATTTTGAAAGGAGTGCAAAAGCAAAACAAGGTGTTTTGGATGTGATCTTCCACTACCAACATTTGTTTAAGGAAAGAAAAAAAAAACATGACAAATGAAACTACATGACTTTATTGCAAAAAACAAGAATTTCAGAAAAGCCAGGACCTTTGTCACAAAAAACGAACTTTACATTTCTGTGTTAACATGTTTGTGTTAACGTATTGTGCAAATTAATATAATGTAAAATTAAAGTAAGATCTGTTTATTTTTGGTTTCATGTTTCCCTTTCCCTATTTACTATGTTAAAATGACCTCATTTAATGTAGTTTCGTTTAGTGCTTTGTTGTCTAGGAACGCATCTCCTGCATTAAGCGGGGTCTTACTGTATTTCCAATCTGATGTATAAATCAGTGATTTTTCAACTAGTGTGCTGTAGAAATTCTTCAGTGTGTTACATAGTTTGATTTTTGTTGTATATATATAATTTTTTTTATTTTTTATTTCATTACACATTCTTATAAAATTATATTTATAAGTTCATTATTATGACTATTACAAATTTAAAACTATTAAAAAGTTGCTTAAATTGCAATATTTGTTTGACCATTCATCTTATTAATAATTTAGAATATAATTAAATCAAAATTTATATTCAAAATGTGATGTGAACACTATATAAAAATTCATTACTAGTACAGTGGGTGATTGGTTAAGGAACAAATCGGATAACGAACACTTTCATGAAAGATTTTTATGTTTGGACAATGAACAGCTCGCAGAACAAACACAAGAAGAAGCAATGTAAAATAATGAATACTAATTGGTCTTCCCTTGTCTTCAGGCAACAATTCAAAACTTTTTGGAGTGCAGGAGACGTTAACATTGATGCTCAATCTGGTATATACTGATCAGATAATATTCCTTCAAACTTTGAAACTCTCCCTTGTAATTCTAGCCTTTTATTTTTTTGACAGAAACAATTCTTTTATACTGTTTGTGAGACTGTCGGACAGGCACTCGTAAAGTTTTGCATCAATTTTTATTTTCGAAAGGTGAGATTATAATAGCAAAGGTAGAGAGTGGCCAGAAGATGTCTGATGTTGCTGGTCGGTATGGCTTAAACAGATCTACATTAGGCTGAAGTTCAATCTTATCTAAGAAAGATACAATATAATCAAGAAGACTCAAGCAGCTAAAGAAGTAACAAAAATCACATCTGAGAAATAAAGAACATTTGAAGAGCTCATAATGGAATCTGAAACGGATCTGACAACAGAAAAACAAGAACTCTTGAATGAAGAACACCAATAAACTCAGCAATATATGTTTTCTTCTGAAAAAGATGATTAATGTCGATATCTGCTATTAAAGATCTTTTGAAGAAGTTGGAGGATGTCAGAACAATGGTCTTAGAATAGCATCCAAACCAGGTTGAGGTTAATAGGCCCAGGGAGCTCTACAATTACAATGCTATTAATTACTTCTGAAAAATCCTGAAGAGAAAAGCAATTGACATTAGACAGATTCTTTAACCCTCACAAATGGGGAAAAAAATCATGACTAATAAAAATGCAAGACTGTGAATATGTGTGTTTTTATTATTACATATAAATAAACATAGTTAGGAAGTATATATATATTTTATATTTTGGGTCTCCAGAACGAATTAATGAAATTTTCATATAAACTTATGGTAAATCTTTAATCAGTTAACGAACAATTCGGATAGCAAAGTCTTGGAATGAATTATATTCATTAACTGATCACCCACTGTATATGTAATCGTATATGCATTGCATATACCATTAAAAAGAAATTTTTTTCTTTTTGTATATAAATAAGGTTTTAGGAGAAAAGTACTACCAGTGATTTAATAAAAATAGTCTAGATGCCTGGAGGATTTATGGTTTGAAATGTATTTTAGGACCTTCATTTATATGTAGATAAATTTTAAAATTAAAGTTTATGTTCGTGTACTGCTTATCATTCTTTGAAGTATTCATTATATTAATCTGAAATAATTATTTGGAATTCAGACTGTTACTGAAAAAATTGTGAAGAAAACATGTACATAGTGTTACCACTCGTCCGGTTTTTGCCCGGACAGTCCAGGAATCTACTCACTGTCCAGGTGAACTATTAATTTTGTCTGGGAACATCATGTGCAACCCATTGACTATATATATATATATATATATATATTTTTTTTTTTTTATTCATACGATTGGTTCGTATTCGTACATGTCTCCAATATCCGCTAGAGCTAGGTCATCTGTAGTTTTTCCTTAATTTACCCAAGTCCTGCAGTCCTTAACAGTAACTGATTTAGAACTGCCATGCACTGCACGTTATTCTTCACATTGCAAAATGACATTGCGCATGTGTCAGGAACTTCTGTTTGAACAAACCTCACTTGCCATCCGGGTCAGCAATTTTGAAAAGGTGGCAATGCTATTTACTTATAATGATAAAACTTGAACACTTTAATTTCTATAAAAGAATGTTTCTGGCCCTTTTTACAGGTTTGTGTCAGGCTTAACAAGAAGGTTGCACTGTTTAATAAGATAGTTCAAATTTTTTTGTTAAACCTGATGCAGACCTGTGAAAAGGGCCAAAAACATTCTTTTATAGAAATTAAAGTGTTGCTGAAAAAGTATTTAAAGTGTTGTTCAAGCTAAATTAGTTTCAGCCTTTGTAGAAGTGTTTTTTAATGATAAAACAACTTTTCTATTATGACTAACTATTAAAGTTTTTCTTATAATTCATGAATGATGTTGTAATATATTACATTATCAAATGATTTTTGTGTAATTCTAAGTAAATCTTTTGTCATAAACATGACATTTTTATTCGTTACTCAAAATTTAAATGTGTGATTCAGAATCATAATCCTGTGTGTAATTTGAGAACACACTTTATTTTGAAGTTACTCTAAAATACAATTTCCATTATTGTTTAAAATATTTTAACTTGAATTATTTATTCTAGTCTGGATTCCAAGTGAAAGTTTAATCATTCATTTAAGTTATTTTGATACTTTGTTTCTAAAAAATATTTTATTAGAATATCTCAGCATAGTTTGAAATTGAAAATAAACTATTGACAATGAAGTATTGATGCACTTTGACAATATAATTTTTGCTTCATTGTGGCTAAGTACAATTATTTTCTGAACTTTTGTCTTCCTCTCTCTCTCTCTCTCTCTCTCTCTGCACTCATCTTGTTGTTGCATTTCTAGTTGTTCATCACTTAAAATATCTTATTTGATATCCATTTTGTCTAAATTCAGTCATAAGTTTACTTTTACTGTGATGCTTTCAGAATGTGGAATATCTTAACAAAGCTGCAAAAAATTGATTTTTTAAGAAGAAAATTAGTTGACACTGCAACTTTGTCAGTTCAGTGTCAGCTAATTTTTTTGAGATCACAGTTCATTACAATATTTCTGTAATGTTTTCACAACGCGTAGCAAAGATTATAAATGACATTCTTTACTGTTTAGACAAACATCACGAATCCTGATAAATTTGTTAAGCCAACCACTGGATTACATTGGGCTACTTTTTTTTGCAATTCTATTTAATTAATTACTAAATAATTTGTCACTTAGGTGCCATCTCTTATTAAATTTAATAATTATAATTAAAATTAATATATATTAAATAATTTAGAATATTCTCGAAGAAAAGAATCAGTCTGGAATG